GAAAACATTAAGAGACGAACTAATGCACAGTTGGTTTGGTCTTTTCGGGGAAGTTGTTGACTGTCACACGAAGTATACCGAGCCTTATCCTTAGAGGAAATACTTTTGTGGACATGCTTGCACTGACAAATTGTAAAATATATTTGCAGCTAATCTGTGAAAAGTGTAAAACACTGTAGTCTTAACCAAAAAGAAGGGGGAAACAGATCATTGGATTCAACTTAATCAGGTTGTTGCTTCTGTTCGACATTGGCATGACTCAACCCTCAAAAAGCTTTTAGTTCGCCTATTAACTTTTAAAACTGCGAGTTATAGTAGTGTTTTACACATGGCCATTTTTATGCTCAAAGGCTTCTTCATCTCCAAAGCAGGTTTAATTCTTGAGAAAGCCATCATATTCCACTCCTGTGCTCATAAAAGATTATAGTGGAAGTAAGAAACCCATGAGCTGTTGGTATTAGCAGGGCTGGGAAATTACATCTTCTTTGTTCAATAAGTGCTTGGACTGTTAATCGGCCCAAGTATAAGACTATGGACCACAAGTGAAGTGAAAGCCTCTGAAAGCCTAGTCCACATGTTCGTCTGAGAGAGAGAAAAAGAGGCGAAGAAAGACAAGAATATGAGCAAGTTGGAAAGAGAAAAGCGCCTCACTATCAGCCGAGGTGCCCATGTATTTATATGAAATATATTTATTCAATTTCTGAACTCGGGGGACGGCGGATGATAATCCGTTAAATGTCTGCACACACCTTCCCTGCTACTGGCACCTTATTAAAATATGTAGATTAATTTGCGACAGGTTCGGCATGTGATTAGAGCGGGTGGATTGGGTGCTCGAGATTCTGCTCATATTTGTAATCTTCTAAATTTAACAGCGAGTGAGAGCTTGTCAATTAAATGGGATGAAATGATGGGGAAGAGTAAGATTCATCTTCATCTCCTTGTTTTATGCTTGAGTGGTCGCAGAGTTATCATTTGCAGGGCTTCAGATAATTGGCAGCAGTTTTGTTGAGCACCTCCGATTCAGGGTGAATTTGTATTCTTCAACCAGATAGCAGCTCATTGCGCTTTGGCAAAGTGCAGCCAGGCTTTGTCAATTACAGCGCGTGTCACAAAGAAAAAAAATATCATGTCACTCCAGATGAGAGAAAGGTATTAAGAGCAGAGTGAGGTAAAATAAGATCTTATAGAATTTAATAGTATTTATGTCATTTAGTTTGAAGGTGATTGATTTGCACTTTTCATTCTTTACATGTCAGGCTTTTTTCCCCCTATTAATTTGACGTGGCAAAAGAAACTTGATTTCAAATACAAAACGCTTCTGACAAGCCAGCAAGATCACTTAAAACTGCCTAAATGCTATATATATTGTCCTACTACAGCATCATTAATGAGAGTGAAGTCAAGATACTAAAAAAGTTGATTTGTCATTCTGTGTTTCCCATATTGATATGACACCAATTACTTTAAAATTCAGGATGCCATGCTTTATTTGTGAAATTCATTTTCAATGAAAGATAAATCTAAAATACAACCAAGCTCTCCATTTTGTGCCTATGGTCAATGCAGTTTCTCTGTCAAGGTATCCAGTATGTGCCCTCCATTAACAATAATGTAAGAGCATTGTTTCCCTCTATAGTCCATATTGGCAGCTGGTCTTTCTTTGTCAACCTTTGACTGAGCTGAATGAGAGAAAAGAACAATGATCTGACAATGAGGTTCCCGCACAGAAACCTCTTTGTCATCAAACACAATAACATGATTTGGGTTAATTAAATCTAAGCTAATAGGCAGTGATTGAGCCCCACATTTGACTCAAATCAAATTAGCTGTGCCATGAGACAATGTCGCTGCTCCATGACTGTGGTATGGAGAGGTCGCATAGGTTTCTGGAACAGGTTTGGATTGATCTGTCCAGAGGAAATTATCTCCTGCTCAAGCCACAATCAATATGGCAAAAGGTACATCACAACAGTGTATGGCATTGTACTGATGGTATTCCTCATGAATTATATTCTTTGTTATTCAAAATGATTTCACATTGTGTTTCTTTAAGTTTCTCTAACACCGAACAATCAAACTCAGTTGCACTGTGCAAAGTTTTCAGGGGAAGTTAAAGTCGACCTGTTGTGCTCTCTGACAGATATAGCCATGGGGCTCTCCTTCTCTTTGACCAGACCTCAGTAAAGACCCCAGGGCTCAGGAAAGACAGAGGTGTAACACACACACACACACACACACACACACAGAGCTGTCTTGACAGTGTCTAGTTTCACCTCCCCTCAGCAGTTTTCCATCCCTCCGGCAGGATTTAGCAATTCCACTTTTCACCCACTTTGACGGTGAAAAGTTTCAGCTCAAAACTAAAATTCTCCTGCTGCATCATTTTGTTGGTGCTATTAAAAATAATCTCAGCTGGACGACTGGAAGTATTCAGGTGGAGCAAGTAGGTGGTCCTCTCTCCGTGCAGGAGAGCCTGCAGCAAAGTTGAGCTGAGGTTGGTATGTAGGTAGATTGGTCTGGACAGGAAAGGTAGTCTGGTGCTGAGTGGCCAACCAGACAGCGAGACAGGATTAGAGGCCGCTCCTGACATTTGGCACAACACCCAACTGGGGGCAGAGTTAATTTAACAGTGAGGGGTCAGGGGTCACAGGCCTGACCCAACTGCTGCTGGCAGGCTGAGAGGGATATAAGACATGCTTGAGCGCCACCACTCTGTTAGAAAAATATACTACAGAAACAGTCTGCTCTCATAAAATCCACAAATATTAGAACATTATATCATGAGTTCACCACAGATAAAAACATGCAAGCTTCACATATTCAGTAGATGAGTATTGTTGAAAATGATTGTATATCGAGAGAACTTGCAGTGTGAGCGTTTGCACATGCGTGTCTGTGTGTATAAGTGTGTCTCACAGTTGGGTGTGTGATGAGTTCAGAGCAGGAGCGGCAGGGCCTCCTTGGTCCTTCAGTCCTTCAGTCACTCACTTCCTCTTGCTTGACTGCTTTGCTCAGCCAGGCTGAAAGCCGCTCCGTTGTCAGGTTGGAGTGTGCTAATTAGGCTCCAGTTTAATTTTCCAGGATGCTCTACTGCCCTTTAAATGGCCATTTCAAATTCAAAGTGATGGTAATTGTACCGTGGCATGCTGATCTTGTAATCACCCTGGGATTTTTTTTTCTTTTGGTTTGGTATTTTTTCCATTTTCTCTGCCACGTTCTATCTCTATTTGTTTCATCTTTTTTATGTTTTTCTGGACGTTTGTTGCTTTCTGCAGGGATTCAAGCTGGGAAAAGGGAAAACATGTAATCACAATATGGATACATGTGACCTACAGAGGGCAAAATAGTTGTATTGTCAAATGCAAAAGTTAAGGAATACGACTGGTGATATTAGACATTTTTCTTACAGTCAATCAGAAAATACTAAAGCCAACCAGCTCATTCCTCTGTGTCACAAATCTTCATTGTGGTCAAAAACACATCAATGAGCCACACTGTTGGGTGACATGTTCCTTCATGATCATGAAATGGCCACTGTAGATTATTGTGAGTCAAACTTCCATATACTGTCCTGCTACCACAAATACCCAGAAGTGTACTAAATGTATATTAAATCCGCAGGCAAAAATAGTAAATAAATGCAATATTTACTCCTGTTTGAGTAATAAATTATTTAGCCATTTAAAAAATGAAAGTATATATTAATTTATTTAAATTTATATTTAAAGATTTACCTCTTCGGTAGGAACCAACAGACTTGAGTCTGGGAGCTACATACTTACACTATACTACACCAGGGTTAAACAGTGGGTCTAAACTTAATGTCAATTCTTCTGGTTAAAAACTGGCTGGTCTCATGTTGCAAGCTAAAAGAAAAAGCGTAAAAATCTGTGACAGTTCTTCGCTCTATGTTACTGGCACAGTAAATATAACTCCCCGAGGTCACTGGGTCACAAACTCTACTAATCTGCTACAAAAAAGCAATGGCCAACTTTTAATGACACATTCAGCGGGGCAGGAGTGTGCGCAAACTAAGAGAAAAAGCAGAAAACTGACAAATTACACTACTTGGAGAATGTATTCAGGGTGATTAACCTCATGTACATTTTTTCATTTGGCTTACATCCCAGTCTAACTTGCCCAGATTAAACTGGTTGATGAGGAGAGCAGCTGGAGTTATGAGAACACTGGAAAGAAAGAGTAATTTTGATAGCCTCCTGGAAGAGTAATTGGGGTTAATGAGTGGTACTGTAGAAGAGGAAATTATTATATTTGGTCAAACTATGAAAAGTTTCAGTGGCTGACATTACATTAAAAAAAATCCAAAGCGACTCTGCCTAATGTTACAAGATTTCACAAATGTACTAACATGCATTAGCCCTTATAGGAAATGCTTTTTCTTTCAATAATGAGAATATTTGCCTTTGAAAGCACCTCAAATTTTCAATGGGAGGGCATACTTTCTCCATCTGTTTGGAGTCAAGCAGAATTCCTTTTGTCTATTATTATTTTTATTTAAAAAAAACATATGACCACATGCAACTTAATCAAAATTCCTTTAGCAAAATAAAACTTTTAAGAACATAATCAATTTCACTTCCTGAATCTTAATTAATTGCAGCAGGTGCATTTCCTTTTGTTAAAAGTGGAAATACCCTTGCTGTTTGATGCTATTTACTCTTGTCCTGGGCTAGCTTTGCTTTGTCAGGTGAGGTTTTATTTCTTCTTGAAAGGGATTCCTTGAAGTGACTTGGGTGTCAGGTTTGTGACGCTTCCTCTTTTCAATTGTCTTTGCACTCCGAGGAGATGTGAGGACGGGCGGCTCCTCAGCCGTCACAATATTGATACTGTACGATGGCTGTCGAGGCACAAGCCCCTGCCTCTAATCTGCCCTGACAGACCATGCAGCACATGAATGATAGCAGGTGTGACATCACAAATAAGAGAGAAATCAAATGAGATGAATAAAGAGAAAACTGAATAAAAATGAGAAAAAGTTTTTTGGGAATGTTTTGAATTTATTCTTTCATAGAAATGATGGGTAGATGGAAAAGGGATGGAGGCTCTATTGTCAGATTCTGTATACACTATTGTTTTTTTGTTGTTGTTGTTTTATTTCTCTTTTCTCTGATCCAGTATCCATTATCCTTTTCTCCTTCTGTTCTGAGCTGGAAGAGATGGTTGATGGGACGGTGGCCTGGGCCATTCATTGTGGCGGTGTCAGCAGTGGATTTATTTTCTCTTTAGTGTGCAGAGGGAGACACAGGACAGGATGCTTAAGACTGTAGAACAAAGGCATACAATAGACTTCTTCAAAGACACCTTGAAGACACTGATTCATCAGTCAGACAAGGAGCCTGTGGGCAGGTGTCTGGCCACAATGGGTCACTCACAGATACACACACAAGCACACACAGAAAAACAAAAGGCACAGATAGAAAACACACATGCCAGCTAAATCAACTCCCAGCTTTCATTGAGATCCTTTAAGATGGATGGGTCCTGGATGGCACCTTTGTCCCAGAATGCAATATGACCAAAAGCATGAGGCTCTTTGTTAAATTGTAGATCTGAGTCACAACACAGTCATACAATTCTTTCACTGTAAACATTGTGAATACCAGCCAGATGAATGTTGAGAGATTTCTTTCATTTTGGCTGCAATAATTTAATTTACCAGAGTCTAAGGTGACAACTTTGTCCAACCAAAAGCTCAAAACCAAAAAATAGTCAGTTTACATCAGAAGTCCAATGATTATATGACTAATCTATTAGTAAATCAGCACAAGGTTAATCATTTTTCAAGCAAAAATGACAAACATTATCTGATTCCAACTTCTCAGATGTGTGGATTTGCTGCTTTTCTCTGTTTTATATATTTCTAAACTGAACATCTTTGGATCTTAGATTGTTACCTGGCTGATTCAAGATTTGATGATGTCACATTTGACTCTGAGAAACAGTGATGAGCCTTTTTCTCAAAGTTTCTTGATGTTTCACAGACTAAGTGATTAGTCATTGCAAAATGGTTTGATCAGTCAATTACAAAAATAACTTAGTTTGAGTCCTAATTTACAGTGATATGAAACCGAGAAAAGCAGCAAATCAGCACATTTGAGTAGCTGCAACCAGAGAATGTATGGCATTTTTTTTAAAAACAATGACAGATCATTTTCTGTTACTCGATTAATTGACTAATTATATGAGTAAGATTGAGTTAAAATTTTTTCTAGGGCTGGGCACGTTAACGTGTTAATTACTTAACGCCGACAATTATTTTATCTCATGTTAACGCAGTTTTTATTATTACAGAGTATCCCCAGGACTTTTTAAGACCTTTTTAGTACCTCCTAGGATGAAATTTAATACCAGCTTCACGGATGTATAATGGAAAATCTGTATGAATTGTAAGCATGAGAAAATTATTTACAAAGTTACGTGAATTTAATAAAATATTTTATTATAATACATTCATATTTAACACACTATAGCTTTTTGTACTTTGATAAAAGTTAATCAAGGACGTCACTTTTTGTTGAAAAGTGGTGGAAAAATAGGGGTTCAGATTAGGGGGTGCAGCACGATACACTTGGCTCACATACATGATTTACAATACTGGGTTCACATAATTTCCTGCATTCTGCAATCATTTTCTGCACCAATTTATGGTACAATTGTCTTTATTTATATATAGTTACTCAGGTGACAAATCAAAGAATATAATAGAAAGAATATAATGCAGTATTCAGCAGCTTGTGTTTTTAGCTTAAACTTTTTTGGACAATGCACATTTGTTCCTTCCATCTTTAAATTACATTATATGTTTTCTTATTGTGCAAATAAACCTTTCTGAAGTATTTTCATTTGTTTTTTTAACATTTCTTGTTGTAACCCATTTTTCTGAACAAATACTTTAAAATAAAGTGATGGAGACCTGTCCCCAGTATCCACAGTGTAAATGACAACTATGAAATGAATACAATATCTGTGCACTAAGAACTCAACAAAAACGTTGTATGGTATAAGTTGTTACAATTAGTTACACCTTGGCTAGATATGTCAGGGGGGTGGGGGAGGCTGAGAGCAGGCTGAGGACTGGACCCAAATGCAGACGTAGGTGAGGTGGTTGCAGTTCAAACAAAAGATTTTATTAAACAAGTAATAGGTAAAACATAGGTAAAAAATCCAAAACAAAGGAATAAGGTACAAACCACAGATTAATCCACAAGTGCAGGTACAGGACGGAACACTCAACACAGAAGCAAGGACGTGACAAGGACTAAAGAAACAAGCAAGCATATATACACACACACACACACAGAAACTAACGAGCGGGGTGGGAGCATCACAGGTGAAGGGAATAAGCACTAATCAGGCACCGCAGACACACAGTGAATAAGACAGAGTGTAACAGCAAGGAAACCAGACAGGAAACTAACACAGAACAGAATAAAGAATAAACCGAAAAGACTACAAACACAAGCAGACACAGATCCAAAAACAAAGGCAGAAGTAACAAATCATCAAGACAACAATACACTAACTAACAACAGGAACCAAGCTAGACAAAAACACCAGGCACAGAAGACTACAAAATAAAACAGGAAGTGAAGTTCACAGAACACTCATGGACAGATCTACCAAAGTAAAACATGGTACGACTGAAAAATCAGGACATGGGCAGGACCAAACTAAAACATGGAGATAAAAGACTAAGGACAAAGACACAGACCATAAGTAATAAAACACAGAAGTACAACAACCAAGAAAACACTAATCATGAACTAAAGCACAGGACTAAGAACTACGATGAGAGACAAGACAGTTACTAAGAAAACTTAAAGCGAATGAACAAAATAATAAACTAGACTACAAAACTCCAAACCATGACAATATCAAATAAACACAGGAAAAAACAACAGCACAAAACCAAATTCTAACAAGATAAGGTTATGTAATGTCATATAATATGCCAATTGCTTCAGTGATTATTAATTCTATTCTGTGTTTGCATTAAAGGCTGCTTGAAATATAGTATCAGATAGTATTGGCTTGAAGCAAGCAGGGATAAGAAGTTGGGCTCCGGTTTGGGTGACATAAGTTTAATGTGCGTTAACATTAGTTGGATGTTTCCATTCACATAACTTTACTCCGCAACAGTGGCGCAACGCCGACACACAGACACGGTCCTGAATTTCAGACACTTGCCCGTTCTCAGGCGACAAGGTAGCGTTAGCTTGTTAGTGGGCATGTCAGAGAAGTTTTGTTTTCTTTCCTGATAACTGACTGATACATGCTAGAGCTTGTGCACCGCGAACACGCCACAGTCCAGAACGTAAAGCTAAACACTGACGTAAACAGGAATAGGGCTGCAGCTAACGATGATTTTAGTATCCGAAGCTTCGATGCGTCGTTTAAGAAGTACTTTTGCTTGGCGGCGTGTGTCATACAGCAAACATCAGACCAACAATTAGACAGCTGCTTTACAAACACAAACATCACCGGAGTGCTATACAAGTTATACTAAAGGCTCGTGCAGACTACACAACTTTCAGCGTCGGCCGATGGCCGTGCCGTTCATGCAACTTGCCCACAGCAGTCTTGAAGTTCTTGTGGCGTCCACACTACGTGACTGATCGGTGACAGGGACACACACACACTACAGGAGCTGACAGAGGCTGTGTCACCCGACGCTGGTCTCCAAACCACATTTTGTCAAGAAAACACACGTGAAATGTGAAACGGGAAATGAGCGATCCTGCACACGAAACAGCTGTTGTTTGTTATTATAAAGATGGCAATTATAAAGACAAAGAATATGGGTGAAAGGATGGATTAGCACACGCAGGTAGCAGGGATTGTCTGAGCTACAGAGACAGCTGGAGGTGAGTTAAAAGGTGCAGCTCCCAACACCCAGTTAACTCATTACTGTGAGGTTACAACTTACAGCCCAAAAAGGAGAAAACAAATGCACGTGTGCACATTTTCAGCTGAGGACTGCGGCTTACTTTGGCTAGCCTTCAACTCAACAATCAGTCATGATTTCAGTTAAATGCTAAAGTTGCTGTTACTTTTATCTTGTCTGTGGTCCGCTGGCAGAACACCGTGTGCCTTCTGATCAGATGTTGTCATGCTGTTGCAGAGAAGACATAAGTTTCATTTTACGGTGGATGGACGGTAACATTACAGAGTTGTTGTTTTCTTTAGCTTGAAATAATCCCATACTTTGGACACTTTCTGTTTTGTCCCTCACTATTTTCTCTCTCTTCCTCCACTTTGCAAACAGCTCCATTATAATCACGTCGTGTTCACAGCGTAAGCGCGATGTGCGACAGTAATAAATGTCCCTGTGAAACACTGTGCTGTAAAATTAAATGGACTAAACAAAGCATCGATGCAAAGAATTTGTGTCGATGCATTTTATTAATCGATTTTATCGATTTAATCCAATAATCGTTTCAGCCCTAAACACGTTACATTACCTGTACTGCCGTATAACATCAGAGTCACACCAAACGGAGTAAATTATTAAGTCTCACACACACAAAATTAATTTATGACGTTATGGCATTTAATCCTACAAAAGGACAAGATAAAATTTAATACTTTGGTAAATTAAATTTAATACTTTTAAGGCCTTATTTTTGGAATATGAAATTTAAGACTTTTTAAGTATTTTTAAGACCCCGGGGGTACCCTGTATTATTATTTTGAAAGTCCGTTGCTCACTGGCTCTGAATACATACAGTTGGGTCACAGGAGGGGTGGGATGTTGACAGGAGGGGTGGGATGTTGATCAGCCTGCAAGTCACCCACCAAAACAAGCAGCGGAGGGAGGCTTCGGCAGACTACGCTGGATGCAGAATGTGGGAGAAGAAGATGCACAAAAGCAATACAAGCGATCAAATGCCATAGCGAAGTGGATAGCTACACACTGCATGCTGATTAGTATTTGGGAAGATGTCTCAGAAACATAGTCGCTTGACAAGCGCTCCGCAAGTAAACGGCAGGCGCGATAGTAAGCCAACGGCTTCTGTGCGCTACACAGCTGTAGCCCATTTAATTTAAGTTAAAATTATAGGCTATATAACTTTACCTGATAGGCCTTCATCTAGTTTTGCGGGGATGCTCTGCCATTCCCTCCTGTTGATGTCATATTTAGTAAACAGTAATAGATTCTGGAATCTCAAAAACAGCGAGAATCAGTTCAGCTCTCTTCCAATGATTTGTGCTGCGCGTCGCGTACTAAAAGTTCAAAACAATTCAACTTCAGCAGCGGGCAGGCGTGTGCGTGAGGCAACCACTTCACCTCACTCTAACAGGGACACTTGCTACTGAACATAAAGTGTTTATGCTGCTCCCTGATAAAAGAAAAATGTTCAGAAAAAAAACAAGAAAACCGATTTTTATATGTTAACCTGGTATGTTATGTTCATGCCTCTGGACTCTAACTTGTTTTAACAAGCTATAAAAGGTAATGCCCTGGCAGTGGCAAATAGCTTTCGTTTTATATTTGATTTGATTACATTAAAGTTTAAGTCCAGATGTACAATAAATATTTTGTTGCTACTGTGTAAAGGGAATACTGCTGGTAAAAAAACACCTTATTTTTAGTGTTTGCAAACCACATGTTATTGAACTTTTTGTATATAGCAGTACATTTAAATTAAAAGTGTGCAATACACTACTTTAGAAATCATTATTCTATTTTGCGCATAACTATGCAATTAATCGCAGAAAATCATGCGATTAATTGGGAATAAAATTTTTTATCGTTGCCAGCACTAATTTTTTCATGTTATGTTTAAATAAAAAGTTATGTTGTGAAATATGAGCAGTATCACCACTTTTGATATGCTTTAAGAGGCCAAACATGTAGAGGAAAAGTTATAAATATTAACAATATTTCTCTGTGGTGTCATTTTTGTTGTGTGAGATTGTGAAGGCTAAAAAGTATGTGTTTGTACGCCGGGGCAGGAGGGTAAATACAGAGCAGATCCATATCCCGGCGCTGTCAGAGTTTGATATGACAATAAGAGGTTTGCTTGGTCATATTGTGTGCGTCCAAGGCTATTGTGGGGCTATGCAGAAGCGGGTGTGAGTGACAAGGTGAGAATGGGGAGCAAATGTCTGATCAGGCACCATTTCAATTTCAATCCACTATGAACAGGATGCCAGTTCTACTTTAAAAAGGAGTCTTCACTGGACAGCTTTAGGTTGTCACTTGTATTTTCCTTATGACAAATTTTCTATGAATCAATAACATTCAACATTCACTGTATTCATAGTTTTAACAAGCAGTCAGAAAATAGGAAAATGCTAGATTTTACTGTTAAAGCATACGTTTACAGTATATTTGTCTTTGTTTAATTGTATTACAGTTGCAAATGAATCACCATCATGTGCAGCTGACAGTATAACCTATATAGCTTCAGTAATAGTAGTAAAATCTTCTGAGAAAATTATGTTGTTTTTCTCTTACTATTTTGTATCATTGCCAATGTAAGCCCCCCCCAGCTTTGTCCCACAGGAAAGACTCTTGAAATTGTTCATTTACCGAGAGGAAGAAGTTGAAGGCCAGGACATTCTTTTTTTCTGTCAGATTTGTTAAGATTATTCCCATCATGATCCTATTAGCCACAGGGAGAATGTGACTACTTAAGATGGATTTATGGAAAAATAGTTATCCCCAAAAAAACACTGGTTGTGGATGAATCCAACCCCCCCTCCACAGAACTTATTCCCTCTGCAAATTCAATTCAAGAGGCTACATTTGTGTTCTCAAGGCCAACAAGTCTGAAAGTCATAATCCTAGACCACAAGTACCACTTCACGTTCCCAGCAGGCTCCTTTCCTGGAACTCTGAGATTGCTGAGGCGGAGCTGATTTGGCAAGGGATTAATCTGTCCTAGCACCTGCAGTCTCTGTAACCAGCCATTGCCTGGCCCATAGAGACCTCACAACAGCAGGTTATCAGAGGTAAAGAGGTAAAACTACAGAAATAAAAAGAGGTCATATAATCCTTTTCAAACTGTTTCATAAAAATTCAGACATTTTAATACTTTTTTTCTTTTATGTAAATATGAGTCTATAATATTTATTTGTCGACAACATAACTTTTTAGGTACTACATGCCAAGTTTAATCCACAACTCCCTGAACTCATACTGCATTCTTGGTTTGTTAATGAATGAATTCATTCTCATGCACTCATCCTAATGAGAGAGGCTTACCTTCCCCTGCCCTTCCACAGTTTATTTTCCTCAGGTCAGAACCCCAGCTCAAAGCCCCCATGGCTGGCGCCATATGCGAACGAAGCAGGGGGTGGTACAGTGGAAGCCTGCTGGTCATGCCACTGAGCTCAGGTAGGTTCCCCGAGCCGGATCCCCCCCACCCGGGCACCCAGGGGAGAGGAGGTGTTAAAACCTGAAGGGCCTTTGCCTGGTCCCTCTGAGCATGCAACCATCTGCTCCCCGCCCACTCCCAGCTGGCCACCTTTGATCCCACCAAATTTGAGCTAAAACGAGGATGATGACTGAGGTCTTCCAGTTTGCTCTGGAGAAGAGGGGGGAGGAGGGAAGAGAGAGGAAGAGCAGAGGTTCACGGACTTGATATGGAGAGCAACTTTGTGATGACATGGCAATGAATCTCATTTTAGAGAACATGCATTCTCTTTCCCAGATGCATTTCCACCTAAAAATTACACATTGTTGTGAACAGGCATGCGGATGTGTGGGAGAACACATTTGTCATTGACTTGTCTGTGAAGTAAATATTTTACATCATGGAGCCACACTGTGTTCAAGTCTAAGAAAAATGCAAAAAGTCAGATATCAGGCTGTGATTAACACAACATTGCAGGCTATACATGAGAAAACTACCGGTAGATTGTCCATTAATATATGAAAATATATGGAATCCGACCGTTTATCTTCCCTAATGGCTAGGAACGCACTGCGACCATGGCAATTTAATTGCAACATCTCATATCTCTAATTAAAACATGTCTCTCAAACAGATGTAAAATGTGACCCGGGGTCAATTAAAATTGATATCAAAATGATCAGAATTACTCTCTTACACAAAAACATATGGATCAGAGCCAAATGGCTTATTTTCCGTGTGATTAAAAGAGGATTTTGAACTGAATGACCAATCCAGTGATGAATCAGTGAGGGAGCACACAATCAGCATTATGCTTCTATGACCCAGGACCAAATTGATTCCACAGAAAATATCATGTGAATAATTAAACGCATTGATTAAACAGTGAGATAATATTTAATTAAGGTGGCTCATTAGAATTTCTTGCGCACCACCATTAATGGGTCATTAACACAATTAATTAATTAAGCACCCTCTAACTACCAAAAGGAATTCAATCTATAATGAGTACATGTTTTTGAAGAAGTTAATTAGGTAATACCCGCTCCCACAAAGTCTTGTGTACAGATTCTAATGTGAACTACAATTACTGCTAAAACTCACTGAAGTTCTGAAGGATTTATCCTTAATAGCTAAACTTCTTAATATGGGAAATGTGTGTGTGTGTGTGTGTGTTTGTTCGTGTACAGTGAGAGCTTCAAAAAGTTTGGAGAACAGTTTTTTCATTCATGTTCAGCTGCTCTTAAACCTTACAACCTGGGTGTGTCAGGTTTGACAAAGGTGATAATCAGCAAAAACAACAGCCTCAGAGGGTAATTCAAGAAGTTCCTTGACAATAGGAGAAACTACAATTTTATTCCTATTTTTTACCTAGATAAAAATACAATATAAAACAAGTTTGACTATAAATGTTCTACTGTTGATTTCCCACCTAAATAACTTTTCTCCAAATTGCTTCCTGAGCAGCAAAAGAAATCGAAATCACATGGAGGTCTGTGGCATGAAATATTTTGGGAATGCTTGATCTATATTCTACAGAAGTAAGAAGGCAAGGTGGAAAAGTGACAGCTAAAGCAGCCCTGTGTGTGATCAGGGGTGAGCTCCCCTGGTGCGATCCCTCACCCCTGTAGCGTGAACAATCCTCAGACGTGATCTGCCAGGCTAACCGGCTTGCATAAATAAAATCGGTTATCTCCCCATCCCTTCCCTGCCTCCCTGTCCGCATTCGGGCTGTATTTAATCACGCAGGGGCCGATGGGATAGGGCCGTTTTTCTGCCGGAATAATCAGAGGGCCTCCATGTGTCCTGGTCATACGTATTAATCCTGCCTTCCTATGGCTGGCCTTATCAGCTCCCAAAGCCCACCTCTCAAGGGATCTGGGCTGCTGTCTCAGCGCCCTCTAATCTGCCCTGAGAAATTGTTAACAGGATGTAAATGCGTCCAGGGATGATATATGGCTTCTTGTATAACATACATGTTATTGTTAAGCGTTTTGCATGCAGGCTCTGAGATTATGCACACAGAGAATGGGAGAGATGGTATTGATTGATGGAATAACAAATGTCAAATATCGTTTTAGATGCAAATGATCACACAGTGTTATGGGACAAATCTTTTTTTGCTGTTTATGGATATGGACATGGTTGAAATAGTGGAGGGATTGGAGGACTTAACTCAGGCAGCTATTTTAGTTTAATGGAATGTACATGGTGGTGAGGAAGAAAGGTAGATCCCATCATCAAGATTGTTTTATAATATGAATGTGTACATCTGTGTGGCCTCATGTAAATTTGGATTTCGTGAACTGACCAAGTTTCAAAATCTCACAGGAATCATATGAGTCATGTTTCATTTTTTTTTAAAACATCTTAAGGTGTCATTTGCAATTAGTGTTTGAGAGGCTGAGGGAATACAGGACGTGCGCTTTGTTTTATGTCACCAATCCAGAAATGTATTCACTTTTGCTTTACTGTGTTTGAGCATTTGTGACAAGAATCCTCTCTTGTCAATTTCAGCCAGAGCCTGGTTTGAGTCAAAGTGAACTTCAGCTCACATTCTCATACGTTTCTATTTTGATGTACACAGTTTCATCTTTATGCTGTCAGCAGGAAGGGGCGTATTGCTGATATGCATTGGAAATGTTTGCACAAAGCTGTCAAGAATTGCATTTTTAAAACACCAATAAAGTATATGGTATATGCTGTCAACTGTAAGCAGTATAATGTGTCTTATCAGCATAGGTAGTTTTGTATTGACAAAGAAAGGCTCAAATGAGAATCACTGTGCCTCCACTCCGAAACAGAAAAGGATTCATTCATCTAAATCTTCCAATCATAAATGTCTTCAGTTTTGTTGTCTTTTACTTTTCTGTTTTGTGGTGTTCAGAACAGAGAGTTCTCTTTGTTGTCACTTCCTGTCAAGGTTGGTTAGGACTCAGCATCAGTTCCGATAGACAGGAAGCTGTGTGATTTTTCTGCAATACAGTAATTAGACCCCCCCTTTATCTCCTCTGCAAATGTGATGCAAAGCATCTCAAAGTACCGTCTCCCATGATTAAAGACAGCTCATTATCTGTGGCTATTCTCTGTCTGTGATTCAAGCCCCCACAGAGCAATGTGTGCAACCCAAAGAGAAGGTGCAACTGTCTACTGAAAGAGGATCTGCCTTTTTCATATTTCAGGTCCCACCCACTCCAGAATGGGATGTTGAATTTCATTGCTCATTTTATCTAAAATATTGTCTTTTCTGAACTTCATACATCTCTTAATTATTCACAATGAGGGGGTTTGTTTCAAATGGAAGACCACAACAAATATATTTTTTAACATAACATAACATTTAATTTGCTGTTAATTAGGGCTGCTATTATTTTCATTATCGATTAATCTCACTATTATTTTTCAGATGAATTGTTAGTCTATTAAATGTCATAAAATAGCAAAAAACTTCCAAGAGCTCAAGATGAAGTCTCCAAAAATCTTTGTTTTGTGCAACCAAAAGCAGCAAATTCTCAATTTGCTTAGAAAACAACTGAAACGATTAATCGACTATCAAAATAGTCAGCAATTAATTAGCAGCATCCTAGGACAGCGCACATAGGGAACTGACAGAAATTAGCAAGAAAAAGTACTTCTAAAAAAGATGCCACACCTAAAGGGCCTCTTCATACAGAAAGACAATTGACTTGAAAACAGTGAATGACATGTTTGTCCAGCAACTATAATTATCAAAAATCAAATGTTGAGCCTGTCTGCGTAGTGGCAACTTTTAATGGAAATGTTACAAATGAGGCCCTCAAATAATGAATAATTTCTGACCACCCTCTGCAGTGTCTCTCAGCAAGAGGGTGACAAAATGTGGACATTTTTCAAGCTGGGGACTGATTAGGCCGAGGATGGGACTCGGCTGGAGGACGGACATCGCGCCGCTTCCCCAGAGAATAAATTTGCACCTGGCCCATCCGGAACAATAGCCCTCTGCCTTCGTACTGTGCTTAATTAAAAAACATGGCTAATTTGCACACTCTACTTTGCTTTAAAATTGGAATCTACTTCACCACTGAGACTGTTAATTTACACAGGAAACTACCGACTGAGAGGGGATGGGACTGTGATGGGTTTGACAGGGGAGGGGACAAAGAGCGGACACAGTGAAAACATCCACACTGCATGGGCCGGGCGCCTCGCTCGCTCTCCCTATCTCTGTTACACGCAGTGATCAGGGAGGGAAAAACTAACTTTGATTCAACATACCAGAGGAATAATCCTAACTGCTTCATAGTGTGGGATAAGCTCCATAAAGTGAAATCGCACAAGGGCGGATGGCGGAATGGGAATCCTGACACGTCTTTTCTGACAGATGACCGGATTGATGATTCCGCAAGAAAATGTATATTGCAGAAAAGGCGGATGAATTATGACAGTTTTCATATTAAGCAGACTTATCTGTGGCAAAGAGCATTAAGAGCACCAAGTACATCGACCGATACTATCACAAATTGACCTGCCAATCACCTCGCCTTGGCTTCAAAGGTGCTGATAAGGTATTTAAGGTCATTGAAAGCAGATGCCACTGTCTGTTGGCCTTCCTCTTTACTATTATCACAACCATGTTTCACTGCAAATGTGAATGCGCCTTGGTCTCTCTTGCAACATGAAAAAGATCTTGGATAATTCCCCCAGGCTCAAAAATTGAGGCCATTTCACAGCTAAGATTTTACACGCTAACCGAAATAGCCCTTTAATACTTCCTCCATGTCTGAGAAGACTAGGTAGCGGTGGGGTAACGGGGGATTGGGGGGAACTTCCTAAGGCTTATGAGGTAATCTCATTGATATTTATTCGTCTAATGATGACTAAGAATGTAAACTGATGGCTACATTCATTCCAAGATGACCCCAATGAGTCTTTCATATTAAAGTAATGAATTGTACATAAAAGGAGCTCCAAATCTTCAAGTCAGACATAGAATAAGCTCTAATGCAGAGCAATCCCAGAAAGGTATTAAAGTTAGTAAATGGTAGATAATACCACGAGATTCAAAGATGTATGTCTAACAATGATCCAGTGAGGGTGAATTAAAGCTCCTGGCAAATTGGATGTATCTAAGACTAAAATAAAGACTAATATTGTAGACTGAAATTTCCACCGCTATCCCCCATGTTCCT